TACATTTGCAATTCTAAGAAGGACACGGTCCAATAAATATGAAACATTGTAATGGTAGAAACAAAGGCCCCACATAGGTAATTTGCTGAGATTTATTAGGAGCTGATTTTTTTTTGCTAACCCAGTAAGGGGGAAGGTGTTTTGATTTACAGTGTAATCTTTTCTTTTTGAAACATGTCAGGAGCAATATTTCTATTGCTTTTTCACGGTGTTTTAACATAAATGTCTATTTCTTAAAAAAATAAAGTCTTGATTTTGTCCCTAAGAATCTACAGGAAAAGCGGAGGTTATCTCAGGTTTTTGACATTCAAATGCCAAGGAGATAGATGCAGCTTTTTTGCTTCACGGTATAATCCATGCATTATTAATGTGTTTTTTCCCCTTATATTAACAATGTAAAAAACTCCATTCCTAACTGGAGCGGAGTCTTTGGAAGCGAAGCAAACCAGCATATTTGTGAATATTTGCATTTCTTCACTGTTTTCCTGCTAAATGAAACCTGATGAAGAGCAACGATGAGATTCATATCGCTCTCCTTCTCCCTGTTTTTGCTAATTTTATGTAACTAGACCACCTGGCATGTGTAGCTCCCGAGAACTGCACAGTGCAAAGAGAATTACTAAAATGCCAAAGTGGAATGCGAGAAAGTCATCAGTTAATTATGTAACTAACTGACTCCCATTAACCCACATGAACCTCAGCTGCCTTTCTCAAGCCTTGAGTTAATGCACAGGTCGAGGAGGGAGGTGGGGTTCCTAATTTGTAAAAGGATTTGTAAATAGTGTGATCTGGAACTTCGCTCAGATGTCCATCTTCTGTTGGGCACCAGGAGCTCCCTATGGCCCCAATTCCAAAGCTAAAACTGATATCGGCATCTATCTAGAATTACAGAGTGACACATCCAAGTACCTACACGATTTGTTATTTACAACTCAATTCCTAATGTTGCAAATTAGACAGTATTTCTTTTGCAATGTTGTCATTAAATATCAGAATAGTGGGCCTATAACAAAAAAAAGTAAAATTCCCAAGTTAAGGAACACAGTATAAACCATCACTATTGATTTCAGAACTTCCTTAGTTATTATCTTAGACCAGTGCTCAGAAATATATTTTTTTGATGTTCTATAAAAGATCTTACTTAAAAGATCTTAAATCTTACTTTTACAATGCTTCTTGTATTCACTTACTGCATCACTTTTACATGGTCATTCATGGTACTGTTCAATGTTATATGGCCATAAGATCACTCAAGGTAGTCATTTTAGAGAGTACAGGAGAGTGAAATAATTATTTACTGGTTCAGGAATTGAAATTGTTTCCTTCTAGTAATGATATTTTCACTTATACACATTGTGCCTTTACCTTAGAAGAAAACCTGAACAGAAAAGGATAAATAGGGAACTGCCAGTGATAAATTATTGCCTTTTCCTTTCTCACTATGAATGTAATACTCTTTTTGTGGTATTCTCTCAAAAAAGTGATGAGATGGAGCAGAAACTATCCAACACACTGTAAAGGTGTTCACCATTTTTGTCAAACTGTACTTCACCTCATCCCTTTCCCAAATTGTGGCATTTTATTGGCTGGTATCATCTTTAGGCTAATTGTGATAGGGAACGTGTTTAAATAACGCTTGAATTGTCTCAATAAGACTGCAAATCACTAATCTTAACTGCCCGTAGGAACTCCTCTCCGACGTGATCTGGTCAGTTTAAATGCTAATAACAGATAGCAAGGTCTTAGGAGGCAAGGGGTTCCAATCATAAACTCGGACAGTAGAGCTTGAACAGTTCTTGCCTGGATATTTTGCAGCCTGTAGCTCACTTTCAGCTGGTTTTAAAATATCTTTCTTTTGGGAGAACTGTGTTGCAATGATACCTCATTCTTTCAGCTCATGTTGGACTCAGCCCATTTCAACTACTAGTAATACAGATGCTTGCACAATCAGTAGCGCAAATCACGATCGTCCACGTGCAGCTAGTGACACTGAGTGCTGGTCCGATGAACCTGGAATACAAACTTAGGAGCAAGTTCATCCATCGGTTCATATTTACATTACCTTTGAGTCAGCCAGGCCCTGCACAACCCCTCCCCTGAGGCAGATTTATTTATGATGGTGTGCAATTTGGGAGCACAGAATTCATGTGGTCTACACTGTGAGATGAAAGTCAAAACTCAGTCAACAATGCGTCTGTTCCAAGCTCCAATTGGCAATGCATTCACTCTGCATGGGATAGTACACCAGGATCATTAGCCCCTGCTTTGATATGAAAATGTGCATTGCACACTGACAGTTATTTCTTAGCTCTCCTTTGGGTTCCTCGACTTATCATTTCAGTGACATTTCCTTTTTTCTTTCAAATTGCTCGGGCTACACTAAAAGATGAAGTGAAGACACAACACAAGGTGCTGTGATTAATGCCAAGCAAATCTGTCAGATGGTGTGACAACTCACTAAAGAAGTCTTGCTTACAGTATGAATAGGCATGTGTGTTCACAGAGGATCTATATGTCAAACCATGGATTAAACTGTATCCCTGTGTAAACACTAACCTAAGCACTTCATTATTCCTTATCATTTTAATTTTGCTAATCCCATGACGATTATTACATTATCCTTATTAAAACAGTGAGCACCAACTGAATGAAATGCAGGGTGTTTAATATTTCAGTGAATAATGATTCTCAATATGACATTTTGTGGATATGTAGCTTTAATGAGAATTCGCACAGACTTGAGAAAGGTTCGATTGACTGAATGTACAAATTGCTGGACAAATATAACCAATTTGTCAGAAATGTTACCCCTAATTATCAATGCTGAATTCACCAACTCATTAGTCTAGGGAACTCTTTTTACTTGCTCAAAGATTTTGCTTTCACTGATTTCAGGACTGAATATAAATCTATGAATATTTTTTCAGCCAATCTAATGTTCTTTATACTGTTAGCACAACAAACTGATGAAAAAAAGGAAGAACAAGAACATAAGGTACAACAACAACTTCTATTTACATAGCGTCTTACACGCAAGCAATGCCTCATATAATCTAGCAGTGAATGAACCTGGATGTGTTAATCCTACAGGCCAAAGTCCTAATGGGTAGGATAGTTCGAGTTGGACAAGCAGCAGGAAAGCTTGTCAGACAGTACATTCAATTGCAAGCTATGTGGTTTCAGCTGGTTAGACTCCAGCAGTGCCTCAAAGCTACATACTGGGATCCCCAAACCTTGGCTCTTGCCAACCTGTATCTAATGCTCACTGGAATTAGGTAAGCAAGATGTGTCCCTCCAGGGAGAGTGTGCATTCCATTCCAATAAATATGTCTGCATTTTCCACATATAATAATAATAATAATCCTTGCATTTGATATAGCGCTTTTCACATCGGGAGGACGTCCCAAAGCGCTTCACAGAACACACTGTAAAGTGAATTGACTGTATATTTGTGGGCGAACGCGGCAGCCAATTGCGCAAAGCAATGTCCCACAAACAGTCGTAGATTGAAAATGACCAATTTATTATTGTTTTTGGTTTTGGAGGGATTATTATTAGGCGTGTGGAGTAAGGAAACTTGCCCAAGGTTTCGCCCTGCCTGGAATTGAACTCAGGTCTCTCACTTGCAAAGCGAGTGATCTAACCACTGAGCTACAGGACTCCACGTATAGGTGTGATACATGGAACTCTTAGTTTCTTTGAATGCTCTTAAGCAAGTTGATGGGTTTCCGCAAATGTAAGACAACTAGCTGACCACCCCCCACCAAAAAAAAGAATCAAATGTTGCAAAGGAGGGTAATTTCTTGGGTAAAATAAATGATGTGAGCTATGTCGCATAATTAAAATCCCTAAAGTTTTGACAATTTGATAGTTATTCAATAGCAATTATTCAAAATAAATAAAAAATCCTTCAGTTTAATTCTCTTTATATACTCCTCTCTTCTTCCACATCACAAGACTACAACATCAGAATTGAACATTTACTTCATGGCTGTTTGTGGGACAATGCTGTGTGAAAATTGATTGACATGTTCATCTACAAATACACATTTACTACACTGCTGTAAGGGTGGTAGAGGTCAGGACACTGAACTCATTTAGGAAAAGGCTTGACACTTTAGTACCGAAAATGGTTGGGCAGGTATTCTGAAAGGATGGAATTAAATGAACCAAAGGAGCTACTTCATCTGAACCTCTTTCATGGTATTATAATGATCCCCATGTTCAAATCATTTGCCAACACTTCATGCTTGCGAGAAGCATGTTCTCTTATATGCTGGAGGAATGCTGGTGTACATAGAACTTCACCCAGCACAAATCAATGCCTTTCTAGGTAAAAAAAACAGGAAGAAAACATTGTGGAAAAAAAGGATCCTGCTGCTTTAATATGCCATTCCTTCCTTTGACTGTTTTTATTACATATAGCTGCTGTAACTTAATTATGTAATCTGGGAATAATATCACAGTATGAACATAAAAGCTTTATATATATTATATATATACATAAACCCTTTTGATGCAACTGTTTCCCGACTATCAGACTGATGTGCTTAATAAAATATGTATTAAAATATTTTTTCATGCTGTGATAGTGGGAGAGCCATGCCTGAGAATGTAATGTATTTTAATTGAATTTTACAAAGGGTTTCTAGTGTTCTCATTTTGCCAGAGCAGCTTTCTTCACACTCACTTTATGTGATGCCACTTACGTGGCCATAACAATGAGATAACCCCTACGTGCACATTAGATACGTCCATTTGTGAGCAAAGCATAAATGTCACAAATTATTTTCAGTGACAGTTTATAATAATAAAATAATCCTTGCATTTGATATAGTGCTTTTCGCATCTTCTAGACGTCTCAAAGCGCTTCACAGAATATACTGTAGAGTGAATTGACTGTATATTTGTGGCCAAAACGCGGCAGCCAATTGCACACAGCGGTGTCCCACAAACAGTCATGGATTGAAATGACCAATTTTATTATTTTTTTTCTCAAGGGATTATTACCAGGCATGTGGAGTAAGGAAATTTGCCCAAGGTTTCGCCCTGCCAGAAATCAAACCCAAGTCTCTTGCTTGCAAGGTGAGTGCTGTATCCACTGAGCTACAGGACTCCAATCACAAAGTATATCACAAAGTAACACAACAATCGAGAAAATCTTCCACCCTCCAGTACTGACAATATTCCTCCTGATAAACCCAACATTTAACATTGTAAACATAGAAACCATTATAGAAAGATTACAGAACAGAAGGAATTAATTTGGTTCATTGTGTCTGTGCTTATTGACTGCTACTACTACTACTAATAATAACAACAATCCTTGCATTTGATGTAACATCTTATCACGTCTTCGAGCTATCTCAAAGCGCTTCACGGAATAAACTGTAATGTAAATTGACTGTATATTTTGTGGGTGAAATGCAGGAGCCAATTGCACACAGCGGTGTCCCACAAACAGTCGTGAATTGAAGTGACCAATTTATTATTATTAAAAAAATTTTAAGGAATTAATACCCCCAGAAAAGCGATCCACCAATCGACTAAGAACCAGGTTGCTACTTACTGCCAGGTAAACAGAAGCATGTGGAGTAAGGAAACTTGCCATGACGGGAATTGAACCCAGGTCTCTCGCTTGCAATGCGAGTGCTCTAACCTATAACCTATGTCTTTAAAAGAGTGTCTGCCAACTGTATATAAAATAGTTAAATACTTGAGAAGAAAAGAAGAAAATGTGCGATTCTTCAATTCATCTCTTAATCTAAAAAGGAAAATGAAATGTTATCAGTAATGATCTAACAAGACATTTCCGAGGCCATAAATCCTTTTTTCTCTCACTAGGAAACATCATTATCAGACTCGCATGCTTTCATCTAAAGTGTCTCCTGTTGTTACATTGAGAACACAACAAGCCTGAGGAGATCACTGGACAATCTTGTAATTTTATGCTAAAACGGCAGTTTTGCTGTTTGCAAATGGCTCGTCTGCCAAACTTTTTTTCCTCCATTTCCTCTTACAATGTAGATTTACAATAACTCTTCAATTCTACACTTCACTGAAAACCTTTGCATAAAAAATAAATCATTGATTTTTTTTAATGGAAATTATAGCTGAAGGAAACCTCATAGGACATGCACCACTTCTCCCATTCTTGCCGTCATCCTCTGAGGCATGCTAGGATTTTGGAAGGGGAATAAGTTATTACTTCAGGTGTTCTAGTTATAAAATGTACTCTCCTCTTTGGGCTTTGGTCATTTACTTTGCCTGATCCAAGCCTCCAGAATGCAGACAGTTTAGTTAAACTAAACTTTGATGCCTGAGGAGAGGAGATTCACCAAAAAATTGCCAGGCCTCAAGTGAGGTGAGGGAATAATACAGAATAGAATAAGTGAGTTTTGTTTCTGAGTTTGTCCATGGGGTTTAATTTTGAATTTATCTATCAACAACCCACATGCAGACTAGAGGTATTGTGTTAATCGTGTGTTAATTTCAGATGTCCTTGATTATGTATTAACCACCCAAAAAATTAGAACGATTTCAGATGATGTTGTAATCACAACAACAGCAGCTTGCATTTATATAGCGCCCTTCATGTCAGGTAGCATCCCAGAGTGCTTAACAGTGGCAGAGTGTGACCCTGAGCCAGGGAGAGAGGGAAGTGACTGCAAGCACGATCAAAAAGGAAGGTCTTTAGGTGGGTTTTGAAAGTGGGGAGGGAGGGGGAAAGGCAGACCACAAAATATACTACACTTTACAGTGTCGTGAAGCCCTTTGAGACATAAAAGGCACCATGTCAAATCCAAGGATTATTTATTATTATTATTATTTAATCCTGTCATTGAATGTTTATTCCATAATTAAAGACCTGCAATTCTCTCTGGATATGTGTGTTTATACATGGCTAACACAACCTGTTTAGAACACTAAAGGTGTATTTTTCCCATTGAAAATCATATATTAGCAAAGGAGAAGCATTCAAAAACAGCATGTCAACTAAATCCTTTCAAAAATGTTGTTGAAAACATTTGCTTAAGAATAGGGCAGAAGGTTATAAGGACAAATTTTGCCCATAGATCATCAATTGCTCCACTGAACCTTTGGTCTAATTCTGTCATCATCTATGAAATACAACTGGTGAGAGTTGAATAATGTTGATTGTAATGTTACGTTGATCATCCTGAAGATTTTTACTTCAATTATGAATTCTGGGTCAGAGTAGAACCTTACACTTCTTATCCTCTTGGAAGTTTTAACTGTGTTTATTTGTTTTCTGCGACAGATTAAATCAACTGTGAAGAGCCCATGACACTTTGGATCGCATGTGGTCTCTAAGCAATAGAACCAATAGGTCAACTGGCTTTCCACCTCCATCAAATAATAGTGTCGGTTGTAACACGTAGCAGGACCAATAAAATTGCTTAAATTAAATTGATTTTCCAGACTCTCCATACTGTGCAGTGTGTCATCTAGAAATATCCTATTCCATGACATTTTAAGTTTGAATTGAGAAACCCTGAGGAAAGCCAGCAGCCTATACTGCACATCACCTCGTCCACCTAACTTTTTTAAACTCCATGTGACCTGAGCAGCGGTATGGATTTTAACAGGTTCAAATGAAAGGTTGTAATGTTACCATGTATGGACTGATCATAATTCATTGCTGTTGATTCTCTGCCTGTTGCTTTCCACGCTTGGTGATCATTCTGTTTTGTTGGTTTCTCTGATCTTCAGTTATCAGGGAAAGAGAAATCCTGAGCTTGTTATTTTACTTTTTATGAAACCTAATTTCAAGAGTGATCGACAGCTGTGTAAAGGGCAGCTTCATTTGAGTTCCAGCTCATTTGGCAATTAACATAATGAAAGGGCAATTATTAGTAATGTCAGTTTAATGCTAAGGAATGTTAAAAATAATCACTTTGGCATTTTACTTCATTCTGTCAGAATCTCTGTTGCATTTTGCAGAAAAGGCTCTTGTGACCTGGATGCTCCTATTTAGTGAGGACAGAATGGACTGTATTTAAAGGGCAGAAAATAGTACCATTGCTTAGTCTGGCTGACATTATAACTTATGAAACTTCCAGTGCAAAATGCCAATGATAGCAAAGCGATGATTGATCTATTGAAATGGTTTTGCTTTTACCAAGTATGTCAATTTTAATGCTGGTGACATTTCAACCCTCTCAGCTTTCAAGACCTTTCTGACATTAATCTCCCTTCAGGTATTCAGCATGCTTGTACCTTGCAAGTTCATGCAGAAAATACTGCACTGTGTTCTTTATATCATAAAGCCTTATTTTATCTTTTATAAATACTTAAAAGGCAAACAGGTGTCTCCATGGCACAGTTGGTATCACAGAGTGAAGGTGAATTTGTTTTTTTGATAAAATTACATCTTTTAGCAATAAAAGATGCTTATGCAATGCATTTTTTTTATTAGAAATACAAAAGTGAACTGAACCAGTAAATGCCATTAAATTTTATCTGGCTGGTCCCATTATTAATAATAATAATTCTTGCATTTAATATTGCACTTTTCAGGTCGGGAGGATATCTCAAAGCACTTCCCAGGATTTATTGTAAAGAGGTTGACTGTGCATTTCGTATTCAATTTCTGAGGCATTTTAGAGCATCCAGAATTAGGTAAATTAGTGAAGTTGGTTGTGGATAACAATGTCCCAGAATCAGGCAAGAAGTGAATGACCGATTTTATCTGGGTGATTATTGGCCAGTACATTGGGAGAAACTCCTTTTCTTTTTGAAGAGTGCTATAGAATCTTTAACATCCACCTGAACAGGCAGATGGAACCTCAGTTTAAAGTCTCATCCAACAGATGGCAACACAACGCTTCCTCCAGGACTATATTGGAGTGTCAGTCAAGATTGTGATTTCAAAGTTCCAAAGTCCAATGTCTTAGAAAAGGTGTTTTTCTGTTGCCACGTAAGCTGTAGCATAACACAGTGCTACAGGGATATAGTAGTTTATGGTACGAAAGTATAGTGCAATATATTGTACACTACATAGTAAGAAAGCATTGATGGACATTTATTCTTTTCTACTGTACCTCCCGTTTCTCCTCTTATTTCTGCAAAGACATTGACAAATGTGTGGTTATGGCTCAGCCGGCCCCAGCACCTCTCCAGCACTTTGCCCAAGTGGCCATTCTTCATATGTGAGCGTGGGCAATGAGGCTCAGCAGACGATATGATTATGAGAGGCATCGCAGATGAGCCTGATCCTATCAATACCTAGTGCCCATAAATATGGACATATTCCTGCAGGAATCACTGGACAGCAAATTAGAAGTGGGAGACCTGTTTCATTTTTCACTTCCCTTGCCCAGATACACCAATTCCCAATGTCACATCAGCTGGGATCAGTTTTCTCGGTACAGAACAACAATCAAATATAGGATTTTTGCTCGTAGAGGAAATACAAGAAGCATAACATATTTTACATAAACTATCCACAAGCTGGATTTCCTCTCTGCACAGTTTTCTAATGTTTCTAAATGCAATTTAAATATCTTATTTATTACTGACTTATTACTGAGTTCCACTGTTCCTGATGTACTTGTATAACTTATATTTAATATGGTTAGGGTGGTGCACACTCCATCCTAACTATAGCCTTGCCAGGACAGGGTAAGACTTTCTCAGGGTCACCTATAATGATGGATATGATACCTTCTACCTGGACAGCCTGTTGCTATGGAAACATGATTGGGCTGCAGTGAGAAATGGGCCTCTGGTGATGCAGTCACCTCATTATTGAAATGGCTGCTCTTGTGGCACAGACGGGGTTTCCATCACTTTTCAGCATCCTTCTCTACAGCTGTGATGCAAAGTTTTATTTAAGTTCCTGTTGGTTCATTTTGGCAGAGAATTAGCCATAGAATCACAGTAGATGATATCCTACTGCAAGCAAATCCCTTTTAAGGCACATGTATTGTTGCTGCAAGATTTATTATTATTTAATGTTGATGTATTATTGTGGCAGAGCAAAGGGATATTTACTCTCCATCTG